GGCCCAGCGGGGGAACCAGGGCCAGGGAACCAGCCAGGAAGCACTGGGAACTCTGGGGAAGCCCGGAGAGATGTGGTGTGTAGAATGGCTAGGGGGCCCCCACACTCATCCATCCGTCTGTCCATCCATCCGTCCATCCATCCATCCATCCATTCATTCATTCAGCAAACGTCTGTCCAGCACCTCTTGTGTCCCTCACCTGTATTGGGGGTGGACGGGAACAGTGGGAGTTCGTACAGAAACCCAGGGGCTTGTTTTGTCCACATCCACCACCCCTTCATGTCCTGCTCCTCTCTCCTGGGTGCCCTGTGTCCCATCAGGTCCCAGATCCAGCTGGTTCATTCTTGGCAGTGTCCTCCATCATCTCCACTCTCTTGAGGGGAGGGCACGAGTCACAGTTGTTTCCAAACCGGGCCTGAGGCCTTCAGCTCACCCTCTTCCTACTGTCTCCTCCACGAACTCCCAGGGTGCTCGTCGTGTCGGCATGGAATTGTCCCCAACACTCACAGTCATGGCTCCTTGTAACTGCTCAGATAAGCCTGGCCTCCTTGGCCTGGTGCCCCCTGCTGGCCACGAAGCAGTGGGGCCTGACCCCTCCCCCTGTCCCATCTGCACCAGATGGGCCCTGTGAGCTCCAGCATCTGTGTCTGTCTCAGCGCCCCCTTAATTCTCATTGCTACCGTGGGCTGTGTCCCCTCACATTGGGAGTAATTTTGCCGCCTCTGTGAGATTTTTTGGGTTAAGCTCTTGGAGCTGTTGCCTCAGTCTGGCATGTTAGAGCACCTGTGTGCATGTCTGTCTCCCCATTAGACTGAGCGTCCTGAGGGCAATGGCTGGGTCTCTTCATCTCTGTGTCCCCAGCTTCACCCAGCACAGGGCCAGACACCGAGTAGGCGTCGGTAGATGTTTGCTGAATTGAATTGAATCCCCACGGCAGCTCTGTGAGGCAGGTAGGGCCGGAATTATGAGTCCCACTCTCCCCAAGAAGAAACCAAGATTCAGAGCGCGAAGGCACTTGCTCCCAGCACACAGCTGCTGACGTGTTTGTGTCGCAGGCGGTGAGCTCTTCACGCATCTGGAGCGAGAGGGCATCTTCCTGGAAGACACGGCCTGGTAGGTATTACTTCTTGCCCCTCCTGAGGGGCTCCAGGGATCCCTTCTCCCCAGAGCAAGCCCCACCCCTACCCTTGCCTTCACCCTGTCCTGTCTCTGCAGTTTCTACCTGGCAGAGATCACGCTGGCCCTGGGCCATCTGCACTCCCAAGGCATCATCTACCGGGACCTCAAACCTGAGAACATCATGCTCAGCAGCCAGGGTGCGCATGCGCGTGTGCACCCTGCCCCCCCGCAGCTGCGAGGCGGGTCAGAATCTGCCGGGAGGGCCGAGGAGCACCGTGCAGTGAGCCAGGGCCCTGACTACCCTCTCCAACATCTTCCCCAGGCCACATCAAACTGACAGACTTTGGACTCTGCAAGGAGTCGATCCATGAGGGCGCCGTCACCCACACCTTCTGTGGCACCATTGAGTACATGTAGGTGGTAGCTGGCTGGGACCAGGGGTGGGGAGAACTGCCAGGAAAGGCCTGGCCGGGCTGATGGTTTCACCCGTCCCCTCAGGGCCCCTGAGATTCTGGTGCGCAGTGGCCACAACCGGGCGGTGGACTGGTGGAGCCTGGGGGCCCTGATGTATGACATGCTCACTGGATCGGCAAGTCCAGCCTCCTTGGGAGGAGGGGAGGGGGGAGAGGGGTGGGAGGGGGTCCCCGTCCCGGCCAGGGGCAGGGCCTGGGGTGAAGCCCGCAAGTCTCCTCTCACCGTCTGCTTTCTCCAGCCACCCTTTACTGCGGAGAACCGGAAGAAAACCATGGACAAGATCATCAAAGGGAAGCTGACACTGCCCCCCTACCTCACCCCGGATGCCCGGGACCTCGTCAAAAAGGTGGGCTCCGGGGACGCCTGGGGGCGCTCAGTCAGTTAAGCGTCCAGACTCTTGATTTCAGCTCAGGTCATGATCTTACGGTTCATGAGTTCGAGCCCCAGTGCAGAGCCTGCTTGGGATTCTCTTTCTCTCTCTCAGAATAAATGAAT